GACTCATTTCGTTGGGTCTGCCGGACGTTCTTACTCCCAGAAGTGCAGGGATTCGCGGTGGATGACTTTCGGCAGGACTGGTCAAGGTGAAGTTACCTGTACCTCTTTCCTCTAATCCAGCTGTTGCTTCGGGTTCTGGCTCGGTTGGAGTCCTTCCCAGGGAGAGTAGTCCTCGTGGCCTCTTGGTTGCCAGCCCAGCTTAATTTTCAGGCACTACTTGCTCGGTGCCCAAACCCGGGGTGTTTCCCGTGGCTCCCCCTCTTTCCACAGGTCGAACCAGTCTGGTACATGGCTGGTTCGGCCTTCTCACCACTTCGCGTCTGGTCTTTTGACACGGGTGTATCACCATCTCTATAGTGATCAGGTGGCTTCATTGATGGTGTCCCACCTGCGAGCTTTGTCTCGGTGACCATATGAAGTTTCCTGGCATTTCTTTCAATGGGGAGCCCCTACGGCTCCCTGGAGCTTATCAGGCTAATGTATGTTATATTAGACTGGGACATTAGCTAAGGAGTTCAGACCTACCAGGGACCTGTGCCAGAACCTGGCCCCTTCAGAGAGGTTTCAGGGAGTTTCAGTTGCTGATGCGGCTTCAGGCTTGCCACTTTTGTTGCCTTCCCTAGTTTGTAATTGGCACTTGGTGTATTTATGCCTCTTTACAGGATCTTGGTGCTCTGTCTGAGTCTGCTTGGGATTCGGTATCTGGCCTACCTCGACGACTGGCTAGTGTGGGCTCCCAGTCGGTCCGCTTGTCTGCTCGCCAGGTGTGTGGTTCTTTCCAGATCGCCGGGTTTGGTTTCCTGGTGATCTGGAGGCTGTTCCATCTGTTTCCATCCCGGGTTCGGATCTGGCTGGGTCTTGTTTAGGGCTTTTGAGCCGCTCCTTGTCCTTCCCTCCAGAAGTGTTGCTGCAGCTGTGGTCCCACCTTCGGCTGTTCCTGAGGGGATCCCGGGTTGCTCGGCGGTTGCTCGAGTAGTTGTGCAGGAGTCTGAACTTCGACATGCTGGTCTGCCCGCAGGGTTGGGTTTGGCTTCGGCGTCTGTTTGGTTCCTTCGGAGACTCCCCTTCCACCTCTCTTGCAATCGTTGGGTTCGTTCCTCTGTGGATCTTGTGTTGGTGCTGCATCACCAGCTTCCTCTTTGGTGTTTTCGGGGTTCTGTACCTTGGCACTTCCCCGAGCCTTCGCTCGATGTGTTCACGGACGGTCATCTCTCAGCTGGGGCTTTGTGACCAGTGCTCACCAGGTCAGCTGGGGATGGTGGGGTCTGTCCGTCCGTCGGGCTCACAGTATGGTTTGGGAGTTCGAGGCTGTCTGGTTTGCGCTTCGGAGGGTTCTAGTCACTTGGTACTCTACCATTCAGCTCCATTCGGACTGGTCTCCGGCGGTTCTTTGCCGGAACCACGGGGTTTCTCTTTAGGTGTTTGCCTTTTGGGGTTGGTCCCTTCGAGTGGCTCCTTTGCTGGATTCTCGGGGTTTGGCTAACCGTGAGGTTTATGTCTGGGTTGTGTCCTACGTCCTGTCAAACAGCCTGTCTCGGTTCATTCCTCTGTTAGAGGTTTGGCCAGTCGTCGCCGACTCGTTTCGTTGACTCTGCCGGACGTATGGACTCCTGGCCATGGATGTTTTCGAGTCGGTGTGGTCTAGGCGTCGCCCATTCTATGTGGCGCCCTTACCCGCCTGCGAGGCATTCACGGTGGATGCCTTTCAGCAGGACTGGTCGAGGTGGGGGTACCTGTTCCTCTTCTTCCGGTCCAGCTGTTGCTTCGGATTCTGGTTCAGTTGGAGCCCATTCCCAAGAGAGTAGTCCTCATGGTCCCTTAGGGGCCGGCCCAGCTTTATTTTCAGGCGATGCTTGATAGGTGTCCGAACCCGGGGTGTTTTCCTGCGGCTTTGCCTCTTTTGGCAGGTCGGACCGGTCCTGTACGTGACTGGTTCAGCCTTCTCCTCGGCTCTTCATGTCTGGTATTTTGACGCGGGTATCACCATCTCTGTAGTGATCAGGTGACTTTGTTGATGGTGTCCCACCTGCGAGCTTCGTCTCAGCATGTTGTATGATGTTCCTGGTGTTTCTATGCACCTTTTTCTTGCTCTTCGTAGTTCGTCTTCTCTTTCGCATCGGGTTGGCTTGTCCTTTCTTGGGTTTTCAGGACTACAGTTATTTGATGTTTCTTACTGTCGCCTCGTTTTGTGCGGCGCTGGTGGAGCCGCTCCAGCTTGCGTTCGGGGTGGACGTCACATCTGCCCCGTTCCGTACGCTTTCTCGTGTTTTGTTTCACCTCCGGCCTGCTCATGCGTCGCCTGAGCCGTCCTGGTCCTTGATCAAAGTGCCATCTTATCTTCTCCTCCTTAGTTTGTGGTATCCCCTTTGGTTCAGGTAGGTTTCTGCTCTTTGGTACTGGTGGTAGGTTTGTACGTTTGCAGCCTTTCTCCGTCCTTCTGGCGACAGTCGAGATGGCTGCTTACCGGGGGGGGGGGGGTCCTTGGGTTATTGATGCTTGATTGGTTCAGCCGTGGGTGCATCCTGTGTTGACTGGTTGCGCTTCTTTCCTGTTACCTGCGTACCGTGTCTCAGGATGCGCTTTGGGTTGATCCGGTTCCCCTCATTCCCTGTTTCAGGGCTCGGGTCTCCCAGGTCGTCTGCAGAGTTTTTAGGTTTTCCAGCCTGCGGTCTATACTTGCGCCCGTGCTGTTCGGACGTTTGCAGCTTTCACTGCTGTGTTGGTGACGTCTAGGGTTCATTTCAGGTGCGAGGATTTGAGGGTCGCACAGGTTCCTGGCCGCCCGTTCTTTATGCGCGCGTCTGCTTCTATGCGTTTCTTGTTGCCTTGGGTCGTAGGTTGCAGCCTGTTGTCTCGGCTTCGTGTTGCGGAGTTTGTGGTGGCCGCCTCCCGGGTCAGCCCTTTCTTTTCCTTCTCTTCGGGTATGAAGCTCCAGGGAGCCGTAGGGGCTCCCCACAGAAAACCAGCGTTGAATGTAATGAAACGCCATTTTCTGGGTGAGCCCTGGAGACTCCCTGGCAACCTTCCCTCCCACCGGTTGGCGCTTTTTTTTTTTTTTTGCGTTGGTTGAAGCTTAGCTTCCGAACTGATGCTAGGCAGCCGGCGCGGTGAGGTCCGGGGCTCCCCCCTCCCCCTCTCGGGACAGGGAGGGCTGCGCGGACGATCTTCGTGGCAGTAAAGTGTGATGTTTGCTTGTTTGCTTGTTTCCTTGGGAGTGTAGGGAGTTTCTATCTCTCTGTTTCGGTTTTTTGTTTTAGTTTTTTACCATATGGGGTTTGTTTTGTTATGCCTACCTTTCTGGGTCCCTAACCCCGGTCAATGGCAGATAAGGAAACCCCCAACCAGATGGGGTTTTCCAGGGCCATTGCTCCCTGAAACCTCTCTGAAGGGGCCAGGTTCTGGCGCTGGTCCCTGGTAGGTCTGAACTCCATAGCTAATGTCCCGGTATAATATAATATACACTAGCCTTATAAGCTCCAGGGACACTTCGGAGCTCACCCAGAAAATGGCGTTTCGATACATTCAAAGCTGGTTTTTTAATTTGCCTGCCTAACTTTCTGGGTGCCTTCTCTTGTCAATGGCAAGATGACATACTTTAAGTGTAGTGTTTATGGACTATTGCTCCCTTCACCTCTCTGAGGGGGGCCAGGTTCTGGCTCGTGGTCCCCGGTAGACTTACAAAGAACTCTGCGACTGATGACACTCAAGTAGTATGGCACTTGATCAGTAACATAGCTTCAGGAAGCCTCCGGGGCTCACCCAGAAACTGGCGTTTCATTACATTCAGTACTGGTTTTTTAAATTTCTACATAAATCAACGTTGTAATATGTGTACTATAGATGTACCGTAGGTCTCATGTTATTTAAATATGCAGATGATTTCCAGGTTGCTGGTCATGCCTTACCATCTCCATGGAGATGCTGCATTGTTTTCATTGTTATTTATTTATGTACGATTTGGAGTTATATCATGTTGAAGACAGGATTGGTGGCTGTATCATGTTGAAGACAGGATTGGGGGCTGTATCATGTTGATGACAGGATTGGGGGCTGTATCATGTTGATGACAGGATTTTGGGTTTCATTGAGTTGTAGACAGATATCCTGTGCTTGGCTTGTCATAGTCCTTTCATCTATGGATCACGGTACGCCCCCACACTCCTTGGTCAGTTGCTGGCCAGACCCAATAGTGCTTAACTTGACTGACCAAGCAGCATGTACATCTTCCAACACATTATGCCATTTATGTGCATTTACACATTCAGTTGCATGTTATGCAGCTTTTGTTCCCATAGTAATCATTAGATACAGCTTGTTAAATATTGAGCATTAGATAATGCTTATTAAATATTTGCTATTTATTGTGCTTATTTAACATTAATCATTAGATTAGGCTTATTTAACATTAACTAAATTAGGCTTATTAAATGTTAATTGATTAGACTAATTCTATATTATTAATTTGACTAGGCTTGTTAAATATGAATAATTAGATAAAGTCTAAGTCTAATGAATATATTAATCATTAGATTATGGTTGTTAAACAAGTCATTAAATTGTCTTCTTCAATATTAATAACGTGATTAGGCTGATCAAGTTAATCATTTGATTAGGCTTATTATTAATAAAATCAGGTTGCTCGAACAGCCAAATACAGTAATTGTTTTGCCTTAATTTACATTCTTAATTTTGGAAGAGGAAACCAGGAAGATATTTGGTAAGTAATTATGTAATTTATACTTTATACAATACTGCATTTATATAACAGTTTTTTGTACAAATCGTAAATAATTTTAAATATGACACAAAACATTCAGTTTAATGGGAAAATACAATGAAAACCTTGGTAAAGTGATTGAGTATGTACGTTGGTTGATGCTCCATGCTCCAGACTTATCCAGAATTTGGACATTGCAACTTCCCAACCCTTTCCTGAACCACCAGCTTTTTCCCTGCAGTGCATAACTTTATTAATTTGCTCATGTGTATTTTTGTTGCAGGAGTTCCTCAACACTCAGATGTTGGCACGGGCTGAAGAAACCCCTCAAAAGTCACTCCGAAGGGAAACTCGAGAGTCTTCAGCAAAGAGGAGTGACGAGGATTTTAAAAGAAAGAGAGACTCGCTGGAAGAAAAAAGCCTTAAAAGGAGAAAACTGTAAATCAAGAAGAGCACCACTGTGTTGGTGATATTATAACACCTCCATTAGTATTATAGGTGTAGACATTTTATTTAACATTGTTCCACTTTGAGCTGGTTTTATAATCTTCAGGTCAATATCGGCCCAAGTAGAAAACCATGTGCTGCATATTTTTTTTAAATTGCCTTTAGCGATCCCTTAATTAATTCAGTTTAGGATTATAAGAGAAAAGGCAGCACAGTATTATTAAACCATTATTGGATATACAATATAAGTGCATGCATAAACACACACACACACACACACACACACACACACACACACACACACACACACACACACACATAATTTACTATAATTGATGATAAACCTAGAAACACACACACACAGTAACCACGATTTCCTTTGGGATGTCCGGAGCTGATAAAGAATGACTATAATATGATGATAAACCTAGAAACCTTGAGACAACCATTACACACACACACTCGTGTGCACAAGTACGAAATACACACACACCAAAGCCCTCGGTTGTTTCAAAGGGACATTTGACAAAGATTATTGGGAAGATAAGGCACCACAAGTATATGTTTCATCCTGTAACTACACTTATATAATATATACACATACATGCATACATACATATTCATTCATTTCTTGTCTGATAATCTTGATTTTTTTTTTTTTTTTTTTTTTAGTTTCCTGTCTGCGTTTTTCATAATGACATTGTTAGTTTGACGTGTGTGTATATGTGTCTAGAAATAGAGTACCTTTAGTGTGTACTGAACTTTGAAGATGAAGCTCTTCAATGAAGATATATATATTTTGTGATACCTTTGTTTAATTTTGCCCTTCAAGGAGTACATACAATAGGTGGTGTTTAGATTTGACTGGCTTAGGGTACAGTATGCTTATTATCTGTCAGGAATAGCAAACTTTTAACTTAATTTGCTTGTGGAGTTCCTCTCCACAAGGTATCTGTGCATATAGTTACTTGTACAGCTACTGACCTGATGCAGGAGTGCTTACTCTGACCAAGCAACATGCTATTTAACTAGTAATAGTCAACAAGTGAAGTTCTCCAATAGATATAATGAGACCATTGTAACTTTATAAATAAATACAAACCTTTTTTGATACTTGCTCTGTTAATTTGCCCTTACATAATAGAATACACAATGTGGTATACTGCTGTGTTAATAACTAGCAGCATAAATTGTTCTCACCTCAAGACAAGGGAAAATTAATTCTGAATGTAAAGAAAGTTGCTGTAATAGAAAAACAAGGAAATGAGATGTGAAATAAAAGTGAATGGGGAAGTGCTGGAAATGGTTGATCAGTGTAAATACTTGATACGTGTAGTTCATAAAACCAGCGTTGAATGTAATGAAACACCATTTTCTGGGTGAGACCCGGAGGCTTCCCGGAGCTATCCAAGGTTGATATTGCTAATGTCAGACTTTGGCATCAGTCATGTGTTAAGCCTACCGGGGACTACAAGCCAGAACCTGGCCTCTTCAGAGAGGCACGAGGAGCAATGGCCTATAGAAACCCCTGTATGGTTGCAAGCATTCTATGTCTACCATCGACTGGGTCAGGCACTCACAAAGGTAAGCATCCCAAAACAAACCCCTATTCTGGTTATGAAATTGCTACTAAGAGCCGAACTAGTGGACAGAACTCCCAAAATAAAAACGAACTAACAAGCATGACGTCACCACGTCAACGAGCCGCCGTCTGCGCAGCTACCCCTTCCCACAGGGAGGGAGAAGGGGGAGCCCCAGACCCCTCACGCCAGCTACCCAAGACCCCAGTTCTGAGGCTGGATATCAAAACACGCGAGAAAAAACACCGACCGGAGGGAGGGAGGGTTGTTGACACAAACCACACACTAGAAAGGTGAAAGGACGACGATGTTTCGGTCCATCCTGGACCATTCTTAAGTCGATTGTGAAGCTCTTAAGTCGATTCGTCTGCAGAGGGAAGGTTGCTGGGGAGCCTCCGGGTCTCGCCCAGAAAATGGCGTCTCATTACATTCGAAGCTGGTTTTCTGGGGGGGGAGCCGTGTCGGCTCACTGGAGCTACCTACCCAAAGACGAAAACAAGAGGGACGGAGGTGGACGTCGCTCACTTCCCAACGCAAAGCGGAGACAAAAGACTGCAACCGCCAACCCAAGGCCACAGGCCCGACAAGGCCCCATTACATCAATGAAGGAATGGGTAGCCAACCTACGAACGTCGTGGGCATGGGGATAGACTGCAGGCTCGCTGGACCGAACCATCCTGCGGACGACCCAAGAGAACCACACCCTGGAACAGGGAAGAAGGGAAACCAGAATAACCCAAGTGTGATCTTGGTCACGGCAGTCGTGGCACGCAAAGAACGGCGAAGTGCCACCACCGAACACAACACATGATGCACCCCCATCCAAACCAACCAAACGTCAACAACCCAAGGACCCCTCCAGAAAGCAGCCGTGTCAGTCTCCGCCAGAAAAGGAGGAGACTGCTGCAAGCGAACAAACCTATCACGAGGACCAAAAGAGCCGAAACCCTGGCACCGGAGGAGAGCATGAAGCACCCCGAACCAGAGGCGCCAATAAGAAAAGAGCCTCGGAAAACACTCCAGAACCGAAGGGATCACAGCAAACCAAGGAGAAGAGAAGAGAACACCCAATTGAAGAACCAGGATGGTGCAGGCCAGAGGTGAACCACATCAGAGACAGCTGTCGAATTGGTGCAGAGGGAACACCAAAACCGAAGCAACCCATAGCGGCTCCGCCAGCGCCACATGAGACAAGGCGACAGTGTGTGGCAAGATGACGGCCCTGAACCTCCTCAAGAGAAGGACAAGACCACACCAACAAAATGCAGCAAACCTACGAAGGGACAAGAAAAAATGGAAGGACCGCAAAAAAAAAAAAACCACACTGCCGCCGAGACGAAACACGCAGGTGGGACACCATCAACGAAATCACTTGAACACCAACAGATGGTGAGAGACTCGAGGCAGAACTGAACCAGCCCCACCATCAGAAACCTATGTAAGGAATCCTTCAGAACCTTGTATACCACATATGTAAGGCCAATCCTGGAGTATGCAGCCCCAGCATGGAGTCCGTACCTAGTCAAGCACAAGACGAAGCTGGAAAAAGTACAGAGGTATGCCACTAGGTTAGTCCCGGAACTAAGAGGCATGAGTTATGAGGACAGACTACGTGAACTGCACCTCACGTCGCTGAAAGACAGAAGAGCTAGGGGAGACATGATCACCACATACAAAATTCTCAGGGGAATTGACAGGGTGGACAAGGATGGATTATTTAACATGGGTGGCACACGCACAAGGGGACACAGGTGGAAGCTGAGTACCCAAATGAGCCACAGAGACATTAGAAAGAACTTTTTCAGTGTCAGAGTAGTTAGTATATAAAATGCACTAGGAAGTGATGTGGTGGAGGCTGACTCCATACACAGTTTCAAATGTAGATATGACAGCCCAGTAGGCTCAGGAATCTGTACATCAGTTGATTGATGGTTCAGAGGCGGGACCAAAGAGCCAGAGCTCAACCCCCACAAACACAACTAGGTGAGTACCATGGACTTGGGCAGAAACCCTAGCCAGCAAGGAACCAGATGGAATGTCTGCCGTACAGAAAACTTCCCAATGCTAGCGAGCTTGTCGGGTGATTGGAGACACTGTGGTTCCGACGCGAGACTTGAGAAGTGACACAGTGAGATCAGGAACGCACCAACTGGCAGGGGTAAGGAACCCAAACCTGACAAGCCAGGAAAGAACCAACCTGGGCGACATTAATGCCCCATCCAGGAGACCCCCCCCCCCCCACACACACACCAGGACCCCTGAAGTACAAACAAGTCTGACAACTAGAAGCCGCCAGCAGAAAAACGCTGAACTGCAGACGCCGCAAACAGCAAGGACAAAATTGCGATGAAAAACAGAGAGCTAGTGCTCCAGTCAAGGCCAACGAGGAAGCGAGCACCTCGAGCTGAAACGCAAAGCGAAAAGCAGGGACACCGCATCCCACAGGAGCAGTGAACGCAGCCCCAGCAGGGCAAAACGAAGCATGCGATACCGAGTCTACCATACAACTTTCTAAGAACTGAACACCCGAGACTTGTACACTCACGGGGACCAAGCAGGGAGTACCACCGGAATAGAGATGAGTACTCGGTTCACAAGGGGCAATAACCGAGGCAGACCCCCCTCACCAGGCAGACAAACAAAAAGAAAAAGAAAACCCCGCAAGAGGACAGCGTACCCAGGCGGAACAGAGCCGGCTGCTATGATTGGTGAAAACAAACTGCGCAGTACCCTGCGCCCCTTACCAGTGCAAACTGCCCCCTACCCAAAGGCGAACAAGGGAGACAGAACATCTGAGCATACAAAGGGCAGCTGAAAACCAAGCAGTATACAGTCAAGCAGAGGCAGAACCCAAGGAACCTGTGGAAGGTGGCCCCAAACCCCAAGGGCATTACTTACTTGGCAGCTAGGGGTTATCTTGAGATGCTTTCGGGGCTTGGCGTCCCCGCGGCTTGGTCCTCGACCAGGCCTCCTTTTTGTTACACATCCCCAGGAAGCAGCCCGTAACAGCTGTCTAACTCCCAGGTACCTATTTACTGCTAGGTAATGGGGGCATCAGGGTGAAAGAAACATTTTGCTCATTTGTGTCCGCCTTCACCGGGGATCAAACCCAGAACCTCAGGACTACGAATCCGAAGCGCTGCCCACCCAGTTGTTAGGCGGAAGGTAATCCTAGGCGTATGCAGCCCGAGTACTGAAGAATTCACTCACACACCTCTATAAGACAGCCACCACGCAACTTGGCACAGAGCTGAGACCAAGACTGTATCTAGAGCACACGACTTCTGCCTAGCGTATCAGCCTCAGAACTGTGGTCTTGGGTAGCAGGCGTGAGCTGGGGTCTTGGGCTTCCCCTTCCCCTCCTGGGGAAAGGAGGGGGGGGGGGCTGAGCAGACGGCGACATGGTAACGTCATGTTTGTTAGCTCGTTTTTATTTTGGGAGTTCGGTTCTCATTAGCAATTTCTTAACAAGAATAGGGGTTTATTTTGGGATGCTTACCTTTCTGGGTGCCTGACCTGGTCGATGTCAGGTTAATTACTTAATTGTAATTACTTATTAAATTTGCGAGAACGGGTTGGGTTGGAAGCATTCTATGTCTGCCATCGCAACCCGTTCTCGCAAATTTAATAAGTCAATATTGACTTATTAAATATGTGCTCCAACCACATGGGGATTTCTATAGGTCATTGCTCCTTGTACCTCTCTGAGGGGGGCCAGGTTCTTGCTCGTGGTCCCCGGTAAGCCTAAGTCCCCCCCCCCCCCAGAAAAGAGGAATTTGTGCATGTGAAATTCAAAGTAATGCAAGTCATGTAAGGAAATTGGCTGCTCTAATGCAGGTCCTAGTTAGGAAACAACAATATTAATGCAGCCAGAAGGCTACAAGTAGGAGTGATAGTGCTCATGTACTGATGAGAAATGGACAGTCCAAGATGCATGTGTGGTGCTAGGAGAAGAGTAAGTAAGTAAGAGTAAGAAGAGTAAGTAAGAAGGAGTAAGGGACAAAAATGTCATAGACTACG